CTTTAGGTGAGTGTATACCTGCCACCTCAGCACTTCTGAGTGCCGGTACTGACTGTGACCATGACTGTGACTGTGTGCAGTTTGCCTGCTTCCTCTGTTCATTTCTCCAGGTTCCATTGCCCTGCAGTGGACTGACGTGCTGTTGAAGGTTTACCTCACTTTACACTGTGTGCTGCCTGCATTATAGAACAGGATAGTAACACTTTATTATTAACCACAGAGAAATTCTCTTTGCCCCATTGAGAGTGAGAGCAGGCTTGGGGGGTCACAGCAAAGGGGCAGCAAGCTGGGGGTTAAGGGCCTTAGTCAAGGGCCCACAGACATGTGACTATTCTGCCAAGGCTGTGCTGGAACCAGCAATTTTCTAATAACAGACACAGAGGCTTAGCTCACAGAGCCACACACTGCATCTGGAGCCTGATAATTATACTAATGATAAATAGCTATGATAAAAAAGAGGCGAATCTTTAAGGCAACAGAGATCCAGCAATTTATTTCTTATTAGCAGTAATACAGTGTAACTACACATTAACTCTCACTGATGAAGTCTTTTTTATTCATGCTAAAATGTATATTTTATTGATGAAGCGCACTGCATTTGCAGTTTATGTTCTGCAGCATGACAAAAATGTAATGACATAGCGCTAAAAATTCAGCTCTGTGGTTTTCTCACTTCCTGTGCCCACTCCCTGACTGCTGTGTGTGAGAATAGAAATGAGAGAGACAGTGAAGGTCCAGAGGATGTGGAAGTGAGGGTCAGTCTGCACAGGTCTGGGCTCAGTGACACACACACGTATGGATCCTCTGATGCTCCTGTTTCTTCTCATTGCTGGGCTCACAGGTGAGTGTCACTCATTACAGTGGAACTGAGTAGAGATCTCTCTCCTGCTCCACTCACTGTCAGATACAGTTTGCAGTGAAAATAGTCAATAATGTGGATATGCTGCTGTATGACAAGAACGTTTTGTAGATGACTGCTTCCAGTTGCAGTAAATTCATCTTGGAAATTGCTATTAATTTTAGAATTTTAACAGATGTCGCAACATTTTACAGAATTCAAAAAGAAAAAAATAATTTCTCCATAAATCTATCATTACGTAATATTTATTTGTCTTTTCTCTTTCGATGTGTTTGAAAACTATTTCCTGAAAACTGACAATTAAGACATAAACAAAAGATGAATGAGTTTATTGATGTTATAAGTATAATATCCAAATATCCTGTGTGGTACTGAAAGGAAAACTCTCTATGTTAGTGTTCAAGCAGTACAAAGAGTGTAACTTCACATAAAAATGTCCTTGTTTCTTGCACCCTTTGGTTTCCTGTGAGCAGGGGCGGATTAACGCACAGGCTAGATATGGCTTAAGCCTAGGGGCCCCACGTGTGCCTGCCTGCAAGGGGGCCCCCATTGGCGCGGAGGGGGGCGGGGTTGGGGGGCCCACAGACTACTGTAGCCTAGGGGCCTCTGTGCACCTTAATCCGCCCCTGCCTGTGAGGCCTGTGATTGGTCTTACTGGGGTCATTTCAGCAGCACAGGTGGTATGTAATCAGAATCAGAATCTTTTTTTATTCGCCAAGTACAGAGAAGTACAAGGAATTTCTTCTAAGCTAGTTATCCTTTAGCCAGTGGTGTACCAGAGATCTATTTATGCCCCGCCCCCTTCCGCAGCTACAAGTCAGGGCCCCTCCCACGATTATTACATCATCGCCCTGTTTGGCGTTGCAGCATTTGTGATATGCATGGACCAATGCGCACCATTTCTGTGGGCTTTTTTATATTATGAAGGCATATCATAGCTCCAATAGCTACAGATCAAGTCCTTCTGAGTGCTTATTGAACATTGCATAGTTTGAAAAGACGAACATAGTCAACATGGAAGAAGATGATCGAACGGTGTTTGAAGCCTCAAGCTGCAATTCCAGCGTTGTCCACAAGAGGGCTTCAAAGCCCACGGAAAAGGGTCAGGGAAATCAAACCAACAGGATAATAAATGCTAGAAGAGCCAAGCTGTCGCAGTTAACATCGACAAGGAATAAAATAAGAGAGCTGATGCAAATACCAAAAATGTATTGACATTGTTGATGAGCATTTAAGTGAGCTCTCAAAGTTGTTAAGCGAGTTTACTCAATTAAACAATGATGTTGTTTTGACGTTGCTCGATGATGAAAGGGATGCAGCTCAGTCACAATGGTTTATGCCAAAGTTAGACCAGTTTTGCTGCTGAAGTAGAGAGATGGATAACTGTCACAACACAACATGATGATATTTGCCCGGATGACAGTGCATCAGTAGCTGCCTCCCGTGCAAACAAAAGAACAGGATCCATTGTGGCAGCAAGTGGACTGAGTCGCCGCTCATCAAATTCATCTAGAGTATCTTCAACATCAGCTGTGCGACAAAGAGAAGAAGCTGAAAGAGCCACATTAAGTGCTCGTTCTGCTGCACTGCAACAAAGGCAAGCACTGGATTTGGAAGAGTTCATGTTAAAAGAGAAGAAGGAACAGCTTGAAATTGATTCTGCTATTGCTGCTTCTACAGCCAAGATTAAGGTGCTCCAAGAGTTTGAAACCGACTATTACAAAGAAGAAATGGACTATTACATTGAGAGAAACTTGCCTGATGAAGCAGGGCAAGCTTTGGCTCAGTCAGGGAACTGTGAAGAATTTAAAAAAATTGCTGAACCACGACTTAATAGACATCTGGTAAAAAAATAAAGGTGACAAGCAGCAAAAATCTTGTGTGAAGTTATGGTAAAGCAAAATAACATCACAGAAATGTTAGTCAAGCAACAAAAGATGTTGCATTTGCCTCAGACAGACATACCTGTGTTCTCTGGTGATCCACTGGAATTTAAATCATTCGTAAGAGCATTTGAACATGCAATTCATGATAAAACAGATAATGACAGTGACAGACTGTATTATTTGGAGCAGTTTACCAAAGGGGAAGCAAAGAATTTAGTTAAAAGCTGCCAGCTATATGAGCCCTGATCAAGGCTATAAGGAGGCTAGGAGGTTGTTATTGCATTATTATGGTAATGACCTGAAAATTTCAACCGCTTATATGAACAAAACTCTTAACTGGCCACCGATCAAGGTGAATGATGTTAAGGCTCTTTATGATTCATCCCTCTTTCTCACTGGATACAATAACGTAAATCAAGATGTTAACTATTTGGGAGAGATGGAGACTCCTGTTAATCTCAGACTAATCATCTCCAAATTGCCGTACAGACTGAGAGAAGCATAGAAAGTTTATGCCTTTGATATTCAAGAAGCACGTAGCAGGAGAGCTAGTTTTTCAGATCTTGTTGGATTTATTGAAAGACAAGCAAATATTGCTTCGGATCCGCTATTTGGTGATATAAAGGATGTTGATGACAAGGTAAGGCACAACTTGCACATGAAAATGTCAAAAGCACATAAATGAAGGGGATGTGCATTTGTAACTAGTGCAACACCTACTTTATGTGATAAGACATCAGGAGGAAAAAATAACACCCCTCAGCAGTCAAACAATGCATTTCAAAGGCCATGTTTGTACTGTGAAAAATTGGCATGTGCTGGCTGAATGTCAAAAGTTTGAAAGGCAACCCTACAACGAAAGACTGGACTTTATAAAGGGAAAAGGACTGTGCTTCGCATGTTTGATTCAAGGACATTTAGGTAAAACCTGTAAGAAGTGAGATTCATGTGAACATTGTTCCAAGAAACATCCAAGTATATTGCATGTTACAAAGGAAGACGATGCTGTACCTGTGAGCAAAACACAAACAGATGAAAATGTAAATATAACTGTATCAGGCGCCTTACCCATTAACAGTGGGACTTGTGGAGTCACCAGGGCCGGAAACAGTGACTGTCAATGGTACCTCTACGCATAAAGTCAAAAAGGGGAAACAAAGTAATAGAAACATATGCATGTATAGATAATGCAAAAATACAAATCTGGGAGCTGAATGTGAGATGCATGAATCAATCAAGGCTTGGAATCAATCCAAGATTTCTGAAACAATGCTGCAGGAAGGAGTTACTTGGATTTTTAACGCCCCAGCAGGGTCACATTTTGGTGGAGTCTGGGAAAGACAGATAAGGACTGTGAGAAACATACTCAACCAGCTATGAAAGCTACAGCACCTTGATGACAAAAGCCTTCAGACATTGTTCTGTGAAGCCGAGGCAATTGTCAACAGCGGACCAATTACAAGAATCACAGATGACCCTAATGACTTACTGTAGAAGCACTCACGCCCAACCATTTACTGATGAAAATGCACTCTTCACTACCACCAGGGGCATTTGAAAAGGAAGATTTGTACTCTAGAACAGGGACGGATTATGGGTTGTGTGGGCCCCTGGGTAAAACGTTCGCGAGGGCCCCCCCCCCCACCACCACAACCACCACAATTCAAGGGCCCTTGGCAGACAAAAGCCCTCCCTCCATGTTTCCATCAGAGGCCCTATAGGGTCAGGGGCCCTTGTAGGCAGAGGATCAAAGAATGTAGGCCCTCTAAAATAGGTCCGTAATCCGTCCCTGCTCTAGAAGAAGATGTAAACAAGTGCAGTATTTGGCAGACATGACCTGGGGACGTTGGACTCGGGAGTATCTGCCGCAAAACAAAGACAGAAGTGTCTTCAACAAAGACAGAAGTGGTCAGCAACAAGAAGGAACCCGAAGAAAGGAAATGTTGTCCTTATAGTTGATGAGAATGCATCCAGAGGCTCGTGGCTCATGGGAAAGGCTGAGAAGACATTTCCAGATTCACATGGGCATGTGAGATGAGTTTCAGTTAAAACCAAAAGTAATACTTTGGAAAGGCCAATTGGTAAGTTGTGTCTTTTGTTAGAGATGGAGAAGTAAAAGGGTTTAGTTGTAAATAGTGAGATTCACATAGACTTGAATTAGACTTAGAACTAGACATATAGACTTAGAATTGAAATGGTGTATTTGGATAATAAATTGTTTATTGTCACCATTCTTTAATGAGCATTATTGGTAAGCGCTAAAGGTAATTTGAGTTAAGAAATGTTGCTTGATCTGTCATGGTAATTGTTAAGCATCTAACTATATATAAGCACCGTTTTTATACAATGGTATATTTTCTGTTTAATTAAATGGTTTTATTTTGTGTTAACCCTGCCATTATAATTTGATTTTTATGTAGCGCATCATACAGGAAAGTGCTTCTCCGGTTAGTTTTTTGGTTTGTGAATGCCGTAAGGGTTATGTGTCAGAGGAGCAATAAAGTTTATTTTTGAATGTGAAAAATAAAGACGTGGAGGTCGGGAGCCACACGGTTGTTTTACCGTGATTGGTAACCTGTGTACCAGTTTCATGTGTAAACAGTCTACCGTCGTTCATTTGATAGATGTGGTCAATTGTTTTAGATTGCCTACATAAAGAATAATGTTTTCGACCTAAGATGACCACTATACTGGGGATGCATTGCAGGGGCTGGGGGTAACCAGTATATGCCACTGCCTCTAGTTGATAGGGACTGGGAGCAGCATGGTGACCTCACACCTCCAGGCTGGGGGGGTTTGATATCTGGCCCATCTCTTTGTGTGAAGTTAGCATGTGTCATACAGACTGATAATACAGTATATTAATTAGAGATACTGTGAGGCTGAAAATGTGAATTCAGTTGGTTGTTGTCCCCACAGGTGCTGACAGTGTGTCCTCAGTGAGACGGGTGACTGTACAGAGTGGAGGATCTGTCACCATCCCATGTTTATATGAAGACACATATAAAAACCATGTGAAATACTGGTGCAGAGGACGTGAATGGCAGTCATGTACTCCCATAGTACGGACTGACTCTCCACAGAAGAAGGGTGACGTGTCAATCAGAGATGACCCTGACCAGCGAGTCTTCACTGTGACCATGAACAATCTGACAACTGAGGATGCTGATTATTACTGGTGTCATGTGGAGATCAGGGGACATTCAGATGTTGGAGAATGGTTTACACTGTCAGTCACTGATGGTAAGATGTCCGTACTTGTCCTGCCCCGATCGTCACGCCCCCCTAGTCCCGTGTGATCAGCTGTTTCTGGTTGTTGTCATTAGTCCTCTGTATTTAGTCCGCGTTTCAGTTTGTTCCCCTAGTCCTGCCATTGTATTGTCAGTCTGTATTTGCTTGCCTTTCCTTCCGATTAAACCCCGAATTCCGCTGATTCCCCGTGCTCTTTTGTCTGCGCTCTGTGCGCCTTGCAACGTGACCGTACTGCAGACTGTAGCCAAAGAGACGCACAGTATGTAACATGTCATTCAATCAGAAAGGAGGGACATTAACACAAACACAGAAGGAAAAAATATATTTCAGAAAATATTACATTTTAAAATATTATTTGCATAGGACAGGTTCCAAAATTAACTTTTGTTTGATAAATTTGACTTGGAGAACTAAAAGTGACGGTAGAAATCGGCTGCTTTGACACGGGCGACACCTAAATTCAGAAGTAGATGCTCCACGTGGAAAACATTATGCTAAATGTGACTTTGAGCTGGTTATGGCTGGTGCTGTATAGCTCAGAGACCCTCAGACGTCGCTGAAGTCTGCAGTTTGGCAACATTACGCGAGAGAGAGAGACTGTGGTTGATAAGATTGTCTTTCTGCTCTGTTATACCGAACTCGGGTATTTTTCTGCAAACTCATCCAAACATGCTAACTTATTTGAGACGACATCATCCGAGTGTGAGGTTCTGGCCGGAAATTCAGACCGGGCTAAAAAAACTGACTAATTCTAAGTTCACTCTGCGTGATTAAAGCCCCAATTTTCTGCTCGCCGTAAGTTTTTGCCGATGGCCAACAAAAACCTCAGATCGGAGCCACATCGGGTTTTCGGGTTTGTTTGCCGGCGCCTGATCGCTGTTAGTGCACAGACGTGACCGGACGGAGTCGCCGGTGCGTCGCAGATGCCCGTCAGATACCTATCAGGCTAAATGTCTGCACCTTTCACAACTCCGATTCCTGTAGGTGTGGGAAGTACTAAAAGTACCCCTACTAGAAATGCCCTTTTGTTTGGTAAACGTTACTATAAACACGAGTAACTGTATACATGAATATTTTAACCATTTGTATATATAACAGTGTTTCCATTGTTTATAATCTGTGTGTTCAGGTTCCCCAAGGCTGTCAGTGGACCAACAGGAGGTGACTGGTGTGGAGGGAGACAGTGTCAGTGTTCAATGTCGCTATGGAGACCGTAGCAGGGAGATGAAGTGGTGTAAGATCGGGGGCTCCTGTGTATCAGGGAATTCTAGGAGTTTGGATGGGAGGCCTGTGGAGATCGGAGTTGACAGAGTAAATAAAGTCTTCAGTTTGACAATGTGGGGACTGGAGAGGAAGGACACAGGCTGGTATTGGTGTGATGATAGATTCCAGCAGATTCCAGTTCATATTACTGTCAATCAGCTAAGGTAAGCATTCTGCTGCATTTGCAGTTTGTGACGGTCCAGCAAGCAGCATTTGACTAATCACACAGTAATGGAAAATTTCCATTATGTTTATGAGAATAAGGATATTGTTTTTTCCCCATTTTTAAAATGATAATATACTTGAGATGGCATCACATCCAGTGTGAGCCCCTACCTTGTGCCCTCTGCTGACATGCATAGACTGCAGCCTCCTTCTGACAATGTTCTGGATAAATGTTTGGATGATGGATGGATGGATTTTACAACATCATACAACATGGGATGTATTCATCATAATGAAACTGGCAGTTGAATTCTTTAGCTATTTTACTGCTCTTTGTTAGTGTCTCCTGTTGCTCACATGCAGCCTGTGTAATAGTACAGATGTGGCTGTACTGTGCTGTTATAAAGCATGTAAGACTTTAATGTTCAAACCCACCATCTTATTCAGCCCTTTGGTCCAGCTGCCTCTGTATGTAGGACTGAGCTTATTGGTGCTGCTGTTGATTATTATGTTGGTTATAAATCAGTCAGAGTAGATTGACTGGATTATTCTTCAGGTTTAAATCCCATATGTGTGACTGACATTGATATATTATATGTCTAACAGGTGGGAGCAGATTCTGGGTGCAGTACTGAAAGCTGGGACTGGTGTGTTTTATCTGATTTGCACCATCATCGCCATTCAGCTGCACCGGAGCTCCTGCAGAAAGAGGGGATCCAATCAGAGAGAGGAAGAGGGAGGGGCCAATACAAACCATGGGTCTTAGGAAATTCTGATTTGATATACAAGCTTGTCAATCCTGTTAAAATGACTAACATGCACCCTCTGTTAGTGCAAATAAATGGACAAACCCAAGGCTGTGTCAGTAGATTTATGCTGTGCTTGTATGAAATGTGTCTTTATATTTCAGGTACATTTCAGTGTATTCTGTAGTCATTGTTTTTGTGCTTGAATCTCCCTGGGTCAGAGGCAGCTGGGAGGGGGGGAGTAACCTTTGTGGGGCAGAATGAGTCAGACGAGATGTAAAATGAATGGGTATGTGTCACACCCTGCCTATCTGCCCCTCCTGTTCTCTCCCTAGTGTTGTCCTAAAAAGCCATGCCTGTTCGGTGTTTCCTACCTGTCCTTCCTGCCCTTGTGTTACTCACTCCAGCTGCCTCTTGTTTGCTCCTTTGTTAGTCTTTGTATGAAAGTGCTTCCCAATTCTGGCATTCCCTCTTCCTGTTTTGGATCACCTGACATTGTTTTTGTTTCTAGCCCTGTTCAGTTTACGTCCTAATAAACACCTGCCTCCTATTCACTCCTCTCTCCAGTCGTGACATCATACCAGGGCGGCATTTTAAATCCCAATAGCCTGCACACTAGCCTGTGTGCATCCCTGCCTCTGACTGGGTACCCCAAGTACCTCGGGGTATGTCAGCTTCTGGGTTCTAAGGGGTTTGTCGGTATCAAAGGGACCGCCTCATCTTCAGGTGAAGGACTTTGTTGTCCTCTTGGACCTCACCCTGGAGTTGAGGACAAATCCTGTGGTTTGGAGGATCCCCGAGGCCAAGACTCTCACTTCTGTTTGGCTAATATCATGCTTCTGGTAAAGTTTTTGTTATTCAGAGACAATTAGATGCTCTTGGAACAAAACATTGTATTCCCCAGATGGCCCTATCACTCCCCCCATATAATCCTGACTCCTCACATACCCACAACCCTCAATAATCTCTAGCCCCCCTACATGTGATTTGCTTCAGATTTTAATTTCCACATCTTCATCCATAAAATCTTTGAAAAAGATCCATGAAGTACTTTTTGAGTTATTGTTCTAAAAGAATCAAGTGTCTAAGACTGCCATTCTTTGTCCTATGACTATGCAGCACTACATCTGATTACTATCATTGTGTTTATAATCTCAAATGTCTTCCCCCTTCCCTTTGCTGCCACTCAGTGATGTTGCTTCATCTTTGCTGTAACTTTACTTAACATTTGATTACTTCCAGACATTGATGATGCAATGTTTGTGCAAAGTTTGACAGATTTTTATGGCACTAACAGCAGGGAACTAGACTCAAAATCACTTGTTTTCTGCAGATAGCCAGGTTTGGATAGTTACAGTAATGTAAAACTGAAGGGATGCATATATTTACTGTACACGTGGTGTACATTATGATTTACTATGTGCTAATTTCCGCTAGTAAGTCTGTGAGTATCAAATGCTAATGGAATTAGCATTTACTTGCGTACATTTTCTTTACAAATGTATTCCATTCAGCCGTTATATTGTATAGTTTTAATTCATTGGCAATGCATGAATACATTGCGATATGAAATACGACTAATAATGAATAATATATCGAGTAAATACTACTAATAATAATATATAGAATATGCCATTTTCAGTATCTCCCTGCATTTCGACCAATCAGATGATGGTAATGTAACCAGCTCGGTTTGGTCACGCTTTCGGCGCTCCAAGTAAATAGGTCCATGTCAGCATGTATAGAGTCAGAATAGTACAAATTGGAAAGTACACATACAAGTACATATGGCACTATTCTGACTCCATAAGCATGGGTACAGCTCGGGTCGACTTGTAGTAGAACCATGTCCGGACACGAGGGGGCACTAAAGTGTTGGAGAATGGAAACATACAGAGAAAATAACAAAGCAAATAAAAGAAGGGAAAAGTTGACGAAAAGAGTGCCTGTCGTCGTCTGTGGTAAATGACAAGATTCACAAGAGAACATCATACATGGCGAAAGAAGGTTTGCAACAGGAGTGGAAAACCGAAATTAGTTTTAAAGTCGGAGGAAATAGACAGGACTTTGAAACACTATTGCGGGGGGAGTCGCTGATAAGCGAGTGAGCCGACTAGCTTCCGTATGCGAAACAGGTGTTATGCCGAAAAAGGCATCCCTGCCTTAGAATGCATGCCGGTGTTCCGACGAGTTGAGCTTTTAAGGGTTTTTTGGGGGTCAGGGATTTTTTAGGGGTTAGGGTTAGGGTTTTAGGGGTGTTTTGGGGGTTAGGGTTTTAGAGGTTTTTTGGTTTTTTTGGGGGTTAGGGTTAGAATTTTACGGGTTTTGGGGGGCTATTGATTAGCACTACGGTAGCCTTACTCGACAAAGTAGCTCAACTCGTTTCAGATCAGCGACCAATCGGTCATTTAGAGACAGGCATGCATTCTACGGCAGGGATGCCTTTTTCGGCATAACACCTGTTGCAGTAGTAAAGACAATAACATGAGAAATGGAGCCGATATTTTCACTACCACCTCCAGGAAACTAAAACTTTGACGAGCCAAGCAGCTGGACTCGGTGGCTCCAACGTTTTGAGCGATTTAATGTGGCTTCGGGATTAAAAAGACTGAGGAATTAAACTCACTGCTGTATATATAACGGGGCAGAAAAGCGACATTTTGAACACGCTGGTTTTGACTGAAGAACAGAAGAAGTATGCAGATGTGACCAAAGCCCTGAGTGAGCATTTTATTGGAAAACAATATATGAAATAGCAAATTTAATAGCAGATATCAACAGCCAGGTGAATCAGCAGAAAGTTTTATTACTGATGTTCACAAACTGGACGAGTATTGCCAGTATCGCTACTTGAAGAAATGATCAGATATGGAAAACTTGCAACAGAAAAATTTTCTGAAAAAAAGAGGCAAAAATTGCAGTAATCTGACTCAGGCTAGAACAGTAACACGAGTCGTATAAAATGAAGCAGTTGTGGACAGGGACGGATTATGGGTTGTGTGGACCCTTGGGCAAAACGTTCGCGCTTGCCCTTGTAGGCAGAGGATCAAAGAATGTAGGCCCTCTAAAA